ACCACGCTGCCATAGCGCAAATAACGCAGGTCTAGCTCGGAGAACCCCATGGTGGCCGTGACCCACATCACCATCGCCTTGTGGAAGACGAGCGTCCGAATGATGTCGAACATGTTCTTCTGACAGAGCTCATCCCAGTCGTAGTCCAGCTGGAGCCTTAGAACGGCGTTGATGATGAAGGCGAAGATCATCTTCGGCCTGGACGTGCCGCTCATCTGTCCCGCGCTCATCATATCATTGAGTACGGCCATGTTCGAGTAGCTTCGGTAGTCGTCAGAGTAAAAGCAGAAGCTGGGCTTGGCCCTCCAGGTGCCCTGCGACCAGAGCGCAGCGAGGGCAACTACCAAAAGCACTGTCAGGAGCATCCAGAGCACCATCCCGCCCCGCTGTTGAGCCCACTGGCCCTGGCCCAGGTTCGCAAAGCCTGCTGGGGATAGGATTGCCACGTCAGGGCAGAAGAAGCCGCTCAGGAACGTCAAGCTACCCAGGGCCGAGGAGAAGAAAGAGAGGTGGTTGCAGGCGCAAATGAGCGTGTCTCCGCGGACCTCCACAACTGAACAACCCTCGGTGGACCAGATCTCACTCGTGTGGTTGAAATACATGCATTCCTCCACCTGCTCCACCAGCCTCCTCTGCGAGGACAACATCATGCGATCGGCGTCTGAGTGCCTCGGCAACCCAATAATGATGGGATCCTCCAGGTCCCTAATCATCACCTCCTCCCCGTCCAGCCGGATGCTCAAGGACCGCACGCCGTCCGTCACGATGCTCAAATCACTCACCACTCCAGTACTCGATTCGGGCGCAGGGGCGGTCGAGCCTGCGTACGAGAAGGGGTTATGGTGCCACACCGCGTTCTGCAAGCCGATGGCCTCCGCGCTCGCGAGACTGCGCCCGGAGTGCAGGCGACGGCCTGAGCCGAGGCCCGGCATCGGAGGGAGCGTGAAGCTGCCCACAGTGGCGCCATGTTCCGCCAGCGCGCCGTTGTCCGCTTTCATGACGTTGAGCTGCAGGCCGCTGCTGGAGCTCAAGGTCGCCGTCTCGCCCAGTGAGATGGCTTGGATGACGGCGTCGCCGACGGCCTCGATGGCCAGCTGCAACTGGCTGCTGAGTGCCTTCTGGTTCGCCACCTGCTTGTCCAACGTGTCGTTGATGATCCTGGCAATCGGGGTTACCGTGGCGCTGTTCAGCAGTGTGGCCACCGAGCTTATCAGCAGCGTGGCGGTCCCTACATCCATGCCCTCGTCCATGCCCGTCGCGGCCACCGCGATGTTGGTGACCAGCACCGCGGCCTTCGAGGAGGCAGACGGAAAAAGGGGCAGCTCGAGCGTCGGAAGTGTATGGCGAGGGCGAGGGGAAGCTGGAGAGGGGGGAGGAGGGCGAGGGGGAACAGGCGAGAGGAGTGGGGGGTGGGGGAGACGCGTGTGGACCCTGCCACTGGGGCCTTCGGTGGAACTCACCGTAGGGAGACACGAACCGTCTAAGAGGTGTGCCAAAATCGGGCAGGGAGACGCATGTGGACCCTGCCAGTGGGGCCTTCGGTGGAGCTCCCAAAAGGGGGCCACGAAGCGTCTCAGGTGTTTGCAGGAATGGAGCGGGGAGACGCGTGTGGACCCTGCCACTGGGGCCTTCGGTGAGGGGCTGCGAAGCGCTGTATTGGATGGGGGAGACGCGTATGGACCCTGCCGCTGCGGCCTTAGGCGGAGCCCCGTATAGGGCTACGAAACGCTGTAATGGTTGGGGGAGACGCTTGTGGACCCTGCCACTGGGGCCTTCGGTGGAGCTCCTAAACATTGACCACGAAACGTTTCAGGTGCCTGCCGTCATGGAGCGGGGAGACGCATGTGGACACTGCCACTCGGGCCTTCGGTGAAGCTCCGTATGGGGCTACGAAGCGCTGCGTTGGATTGGACAGTCCCGTATGGACCCTGCCACTGCGGCCTTCGGAGGAGCTCCGTTTAGGGCCACGAAACGCTGTACTTGGTGGGGGGAGACGCGTGCGGACCCTGCCTCTGGGGCCTTCGGAGGAGCTCCATATAGGGGCCACGAGACGCTTTACTGGGTGGGGGAGACGCATGTGGACCCTGCCACTGGGGCCTTCGGCGAAGCTCCCTCTAGGACAGCGAAACGCTGCACTGGGTGGGGGAGACGCATGTGGACCCTGCCACTGGGGCGTCCAGTGGAGCTCTCCATTTCAGGGGGGCACGAAACGCTGCATTGTGTGAGGGAGACGCGTGTGGACCGTGCCACTGGCGAGCTCGGAAGAGTTCCATATTGACCACGAAACGCTGTACTGGGCGGAGGAATCGCATGTGGACCCTGCCAGAGGGGACTTATCGGTGGAGCCCCCTATGGACCGCGAAACGCTGTACTGGGTGGGGGAGACGCATGTGGACCCTGCCACTGGGGTCTTCGGTGGAGCTCCTCGAAGGGGGGCACGAGATGCTGTACTGGGCGCGGGGAGACGCATGTGGACCCTGCCACAGGAGCCTTCGGTAGAGTCCCTATGGACCACCAAACGCTGTACTGAGGGGGGGGCGCATGTGGACCCTGCCTCTGGGGCCTTTTGTGGAGCTCCCCATGGGACACAAAACGCTATACTGGGCGGGGGAGATGCATGCGCCACCGGGGCCTTCGGTGAAGCTTCCTCTGGGCCACGAGACGCTTTACTGGGTGGGGGAGACGCATGTGTGCCCTGCCACCGGGGCCATCGGTGAAGCTCCCTATGGGCCACGAAACGGTGTACCAAGTGGGGGAGACACATGTGGACTGCCACTAGGGCCATTGGTGAAGCCCCCTTTTATGGGGCCACGAAACGCTGTGCTGGGTGGAGAAGACGCATCTTTACCCTGCCACTGGGGCCATCGGTGAAGCTCCCCATGGGCCGCGAAACGCTGTACTGAGTGGGGGGACAGATGTGGACCCTGCCAGTGGGGCTTCCGGTAAAGCTCCCTGTGGACCACGAAACCCTTTTAATGGGTACGGGAGACGCACGTGGACCCTGCCACTGGGGCATTCGGTGGAGTTCCATATGGGGCCACGAGTTGTGTGAGAGGTGTACCGAACTGGTAGACCGAAGCGGAAAGCGGAAGTAAGGAGGGAGGAAAAGGACGAGTTGAGGCGAATGACGCGGGACGCTGTCTCGTCGATATACACACGATGGTTAGGCAATAACTAATTTGGTGAAGCACCCAACCATATGCACTTGTGAATACCGCAGTTGTAGGTATGTATCGTCTTCAGTTCTACGGGCCACGAAACGCTGTACTGGGTAGGGGACACGCATGTGGATCCCTGGTGCCTTCGGTGAAGCCCGCTATGGTCCACGAAACAGTGTACTGGGCGGAGGAGATGCATGCCAACTTCGCCACTGTGGCACTCTGGGCCGCGAAGAACTGTATTGGCTGGAAGAGACGCACGCGGAGCTTGCCACTGGGGCAACCGGTGAAGCTCCCTACGGGCCTCGAAACGCTGTACTGGGTGTGGGGGACGCGTGTGGACCCTGCCACCCGGGTGGCGGGGACGCATGTGGAGCCTGCAATTAAGGCCTTCGGTGGAGCTCCCAATATAGAGGCGTGCACGAAACGCTGCAATGGGTGGGGGAGACGCATGTGGACCCTGCCACTGGGACCTTCGGTGAAGCCTTCGGAGGAGCTCCCGATGGTCTGCGAAACGTTGCACTGGGTGGGCGAAACATATGTGGACCCTGCCGCTGGGGCCTTCGATGGAGCTCCCGCTGGGGCCACGAAACGCTGCACTGGGTGGAGAAAACGTATGTGGATCCTGCAGTTGTAACCTTCGGTGGAGCTCCACATATAAAAATGCGCACGAAACGCTGCACTGGGTGGGGGAGACGCATGTGGACCCTGCCACAAGGGCCTCCGGAGAAGTTCCCTTAGGGGCCACGAAACGCTGCATTGGGTGGAGGAGACGCATGTGGACCCGCCACTGGGACCCTCGGAGGAGCTCACTGTGGGGCCGCTAAACTTTGCACGGGGTGGGAGAGACGCATGTGGACCCTGCCACTGTGGCCTTCGATGGAGCCCCCTTATGATGCCACGAAACGCTGCACTGGGTGGGGGAGGCGCATGTGGACCCTGCCGCTGGGGCCTTCGATGGAGCTCCCGATGGTCTGCGAAACGTTGCACTGGGTGGGGGGGACGTATGTGGACCCTGCAGTTGTGGACTTCTCGATAGAGCGACACATATAAAAGGTGTGCACGAAGCGTTGCACTTGGTGGGGGGGCGAATGTGGACTTTGCCACTGGGGCCTTCGGAGGAGCTCCCTTTGGGGCCACGAAACGCTGCACTGGGTGGGGGAGACGCACGTAGACCCGCCACTGGGACCTTCGGAGGAGCCCCCTTTGGGGCCACGCAACGTTGCCCTGGGTGGAAGAGACGCACGCGGACCCTGCCACGGTGGCCTTCGAGATCCCTATGGGGCCACGAAACGTAGCACTGGTGGGGGAGGCGCATGTGGACACTGCCACTGGGGCCCCCGGACTGGTCTGGGAAACGTTTCACTGGGCTGGGGAGACGTATGTGGACCCTGCCACTGGGACCTTCAGAGGAGCTCCCTTTGGGGCCACGAAACTTTGCACTGGGTGGAAGAGACGCATGCAGACCCTGCAACTGGGGCATTCGGTGCGGTTCCTATGCGGCCACCAAACGCTGCACTGGGTTGGGGAGACGCATGTGGACCCGCCACTGGGACCTTCGGAAGAGCTCCCGATGGTCTGCGAAACGTTGCACTGGGTGGGGGAGGCGTATGTGGACCCTGCAATTGTGGACGTTTCGATGGAGCGACACATCATGATGTGCAAGAAACGTTGCACTTGGCGGGGGAAACGAATGTGGACCCTGCCAATTGGGCCTTCGGTGGAGCTCCCTATGCGGCCACGAAACGCTGCACTGGGTGGGGGAAACGCATGTGGACACGCCACTGGGGCCTTCGGAGCCCCTTTTGGGCCCACGAAACGTTGTACTGGGTTGGAGAGACGCATGTGGACCCTGCCACTGTGGCCTTCGCTGGAACCCCCCACAGGGAGCCGCGAAATAATGTTCTGGATGGAGGACGCATGTGGACCTTGCCACTGGGGCCTTCGGAACAGCTCCCTCAGGGGCCAAGAAACGTTGCCATGGGTGGGGGAGACGCATGTGGAAACTGCCGCTGGGGGCTTCGGTGGTGCCCCCTATGGGCCAGGAAATGTTGTACTGAGCAGGGAAGGCGCCTTCGGACCCTGTCACTGGGGCCTTCGGTGGAGGTCCCTATGAGGCCACGAAACGCTCTATTGGGTGGGGGGCCGCATGTGGGCCCCGCAACTGAGGCCCTCGACGGAGCTCCCGCTGGGGCCACGGGACGCTGCACTAGGTGGGGGAGACGCATGTGGACCCGCCACTGGGACCTTCGGAGGAGCTCCCTGTGGGGCCACGAAACGCTGTACTGGGTGCGAACGACGCACGTGGACCCTGCCACTGTGGCCTTCGGTGGAGCTCCCCACAGGGGACCACGAAACAATGTACTGGATGGGGGACGCATGTGGACTCTGCCACTGGAGCCTTTGGAAAAGCTCCCTATGCGGCCAAGAGACGCTGCCATGGGTGGGGGAGACGCATGTGGAAACTGCCGCTCGGGGCTTCGGTGGAGTCCCCAATGGGCCGGGAAACGTTGTACTGGATGGGGGAGACGCATGTGGACCCTGCCACTGGGGCCTTCGGTGGAGCTCCCTATGAGGCCAACAAGCGTTGTACTCGGTGCGAGAGACGCACGTGGACCATGCCACTGTGGCCTTCGGTGGAGCTCCCCACAGGGGATCACGAAACAATGTACTGGATGGGGGACGCATACGGACCCTGCCACTGGGGCCTTCGGAGGAGCTCCCTGTGGGGCCGCTAAACTGTGCACGGGGTGGGGGAGACGCATGTGGACCCTGCCACTGGGGCCTTCGATGGAGCTCCCGCTGCGGCCACGAAACGCTGCACTGGGTGGAGGAGACGCATGTGGACCCGCCACTGGGACCTTCGGAGGAGCTCCCTGTGGGGCCACGAAACGCTGTACTGGGTGGGAGAGACGCATGCGTCAACGCCACTGTGGCCTTCGGCGGAGCTCCCCACAGGGGACCACGAAACAGTGTACTGGGGACGCATGTGGACTCTGCCACTGGGGCCTTCGGAGGAGCTCCCTCTGAGGCCAAGAGACGCTGCAAGTGGTGGGGGAGACGCATGTGGACACTGCCGCTGAGGTCTTCGGTGGAGCCCCCTATGGGCTAGGAAACGTTGTACTGAATGGGGGATACGCCTTCGGACCCTGCCACTGGGGCCTTCGGTGGAGCTCCCTATGAGGCCACGAAGCGCTCTATTGGGTGGGGAGGCGCATGTGGAGCCTGCCACTGGGACCTTCGGTGGAGCTCCCTAAGGGCCACGAAACGTGTGAGGGGTGTGCCGAACAGGTTGACACGCGGAGGGCAAAGGCAAGGATGGAAGGAGGGACTGGGGGAAGAGAGAGGAGGAGAGGAGAGCATGATGACGCGGGGCGCTGTCTCTTCAAAACGGACCCAACACCACACAACGATTGGGAACGATCCTGGCGAAGGACCCAACCATGTGCAATTGTGATTACCGCCGTTGGGAAAAGCGCCGTCGCTGGAGCCCACTACGGGGACACGAAACGCGTGATGGGAGCGCCGAAATAGGGCGGGGCCGCCATGGGGGCGCTGCCGGCGGGGCCGCCCGCAGGGGGCGCGGAGGTCAGAAGAACGGGTGACATGCTGATTTCACACGTTGCGGCTGACAGGCACGGGGAGGCGCGGGAGAAGACATGCGGGCGCGGCATGCGAACGCGGCCACTGGGGCCTTCGGTGGAGCTCCTTCTGAAGCCACGAAGCGTGTGAGGGGTGTGCCAAAGTGAGAAGAGTGGCGGCTGGCGCCTTCGGTGGAGCTCCCTATGCGGCCACGAAACGTGTGAGGGGTGCACCAGAGTAAGAAGGGTGGCGGCATGCGAACGCAGCCACGCGCCTTCGGTGGAGCTCCCTATGGGGCCAGGAAGCGCGTGAGGGGTGTGCCGAAGTGAAGGAGGTTGGCGGCATGCGAACGCAGCCACAGGGGCCTTCAGTGAACCTCCTGATGGGGCCAGGAAGCGTGTAAGGGTGTGCAAAAGTGATGGGGGGTGGCGGCATGCGAACGCGGCCACTGGAGCCTTCAGTGGAGCTCCCTATGAGGCCAGGAAGCGTGTGAGGAGTGTGCCAAAGTGATGGGGCTGTCGGCATGCGAACGCGGCCACTGGCGCCTTCGATGGAGCTCCTTCTGGGGCCACGAAACGTGTGAGTGGTGTGCCAAAGTGAGAAGGGTGGCGGCATGCGAACACAGCCACTGGCGCCTTCGGTGGAGCTCCCTGTGGGGCCAGGAGGCGTGTGAGGGGTGTGCCAAAGTGAAAAGGGTGGCGGCATGCTAACGCAGCCACGCGCCTTCGGTGGAGCTCCCTATAGGACCCGGAAACGTGCGAGGGGTGTACCAAAGGGAGAAGGGTGACGGCATGCGAACGCAGCCACTGGGACCCTCGGTGGAGCTCCCTATGGGGCCACGAAGCGTGTGAGGGGTGTGCCAATGTGAGGGGGGGGGCATGCGAACGCGGCCACTGGGGCCTTCGGTAGAGCCTCCCATGGGGCCGCATGACGTGTGAGTGAGGGGTGTGCCGAAGTGAGGGGGTGACGGGAGGAGGGAGGAGCGGGAGGAGGAGGAGGAGGAGGAGGAGGAGGAGGGAAAGGAGGAGGAGGAAAAGGAGGAGGAGGAGGAGGAGGAGGAGGAGGAGTAGAGAAGGAGCGGAGGGGACGCGGGGACCTCTCTTCAAAACGAGGACCCACAACACCACAGGATGGCTGGGGGGAAACATCTACCCTCTTCCTGCCACCTCCCTCCCACCTCTTTCCTCACTGGACAAGCACAAGAACAAGTATCACCACCCGTTCCATCGCAAGCACAAGGTCAAGTACAAGTCCGAGTACAACTGCAAACGCACCTAAAAGTACAGTACAAGCACAATCGCAAGACCAAAGACAAGCACACATTCAAGTCAAGTAATTACACATGCATCTGCTCCCGCGTCCCTCGTCCTTGCTCCTCTCGCCTCCTGCCTCCTCCTGCCTCCTCCTCCTCCTCCTCCTCCTCCTCCTCCTCCTCCTCCTCCTCCTCCTCCTCCTCCTCCTCCTCCTCCTCCTCCTCCGCCTCCTCCGCCTTCTCCCTCCTCCTCCGCCTCCTCCGCCTCCTCCTCCTCCTCCTCCTCCTCCTCCTCCTCGTCTCCTCCTCCTCCTCCTCCTCCTCCTTACCTCCTTCTCCTCCTCCTCCTCCTCCTCCTCCTCCTCCTCCTCCTCCTCCTCCTCCTCCTCCCCCTCCTTCTCCTCATCCTATTCCTCGTCTCTCCTGCTCGCCGCCTTTGCCGCGACACCTACCTCCATGACGACTTCCTGCACGGTCGAGTTGGCGCCGTCGCCTGCACCCGAGGACAGCATAGTGGACGCCGACGCAACGACGCCATGCAGCGCGGTCGTGGTAGCGTCGATGCTCTCGGGGCATGGATCCGAGAGGGCGCCGCTGTCCGACATCATGTCGAGCAGAGTGCCGGAGAACTCCTGGCCCCTGTTCTTGGCGCTACCCGCCACCGCCGACAAGGCCGCCAAGGTGGCGAACGGGTCGCCAAAGCTGGCCACCGACACTGCCACGTCAAGCAGAGCGTCGTCGCTGACTGCCTCGGCCAGCTCGGTGACTTCCACCTCGGTGACGGCCGCGCTGGAAGAGCCGAGCGCGTCTTTCACGTCGGCCCGGATTCTGACGGTCCCGGGCGTGGACAGCAAGACGTTCTGCATGGTTCCACTTTGCGAGTAGGCGCTCACGGTGATCCACGAGTCACAGCCGTCGCTGGCAGTTCCAGAACATCTGGAGAACTTGTGGAGCAGCGGCAGGTCGTCGTCCAGCCAACCGGATGAGAAAAGCGTAAACTTTGTCAGCGTGGCGCTGCCTCCGCCCGGGAACACATTGCAGGAGCCGCCAGCGGGTGGCTCGTCAATCAGAAAGTAGGCAGAATCAAACACGTATCCGCCGACCCCCGCTTGCCAGGGGTAAAAAGGCGTGTGAGATAATTGGCTGTCCCCCTCCCCCTTTCCCCCTTCCCCAGGGTCCAAAATCTTGTTTCAGGTGGGTGGGGGGTATCCGGGCTCGCCAGCACACCCCTGAAGACTCTGGAGCTTCCGAATCTTGCTTCCGTGGCCTCTCAAAGATGTTCCAAGACGGTCCCGAATCGCTGAACGATTGGCCCAAGATGCTTACGATGGCTCCAAGACACCCTAAGACGCCTTCAAGACGCCCCAAGAGCCTTCTCACGAGGGCCCAGAGAGGCTAAAATCAAGAATGTGGGCGTTCTCGCCTTTTCTGTTTCCCGACGCTCCAAGACGGCCCAAGATGCCCCCAAGAGGCCTCCATGACATCCCAAGAGGCCTCCAAGAGAGCCCGAAGACGGCCTAAGAGCGCCCCAAGACGGCCCACGAGGCACCCAAAACGGCCCAAGAGGGAAAAGGGGCCCAAGAGAGGAACACGAACCGAAAATCCGAGCCTCCCGCCCCAACAGGCCCCCAGGAGGCCCCGAGACGACGCTCCAAGACGGCCCAAGAGGACCCGTAGACCGCCCCAAAACTGCACAGGAGGTCCCTACGAGTGCCCCAGGATGGCCCAATAGGGTTCCAAGACGGCTCAAAGAGGGGGCCAAGACGGCCAAAGATCGCCCCAAGAGGACTCTAAGGAGGCAGAGAAGGAAAACACGAACCGAACATCCTATATTTCCCCCCAAGAGGCCCCCCACAGGCCCCAAGAAGCCCCTAAGCGGCCCAAAAGAGGCCCCTAATAAGCCCCAAAATGCCCCCAAGGCCGAAAAGGCCCCATAACGGGCCCCAAGACGCTTCAAAACTGCCTCCAAAAGGCTCCGCCAGGCCCCCAAACAGCTCCAAAACGCCCACAAGAGTCCCCAAGTAGTATCCCAGAAGCCCACGACGCCTCAACCGTGGACTCCCCGCCTCTTGTAGGGGGTCGGCGGAATGGCGGAAGCCTATTGAATATGCCATTGCTGCTGTCTTCTGCGAAGCCAAAATACTCCGACTCGGACAGCACCAGTCGCAGCTGGTAGGTGCCGAACGCGGCGGACAGCGAGGGCACCGACAGCTCTACGAGGCTGGTCGCCGCGGGCGCCGTCAGCTGTGTCGCGCTGGAGCCACTGGGCGCTAGGAGCCACCAGGTCTTCCAGGCTGGCGCGGTGCAGCCTGCTGACTCGGCAACTGAGGCGGAGACTGTCAGCGGCTGCTGCGGGGACACCTCAGCAGCTAGCCAGCTAAAGGAGACCACGGGCTGCGCGGCGCTGGTGACCAGCACGCTGCCCTGCGTAGTCGACTTGGCATCCGCGCGGGAGACGGTGACTATGAAGCGGTAGGCACCCTCGAGCAGGCTCCCGCTGGGGAGAGCGATTGAAGAAGCTGTCGCACCTGCCACCACCGCGCTGCAGGCTGCAGTTGCCGCGACTGAGGCAGCGAGCTCGGAGGAGTTGTCAGACTCGCAGGCCCACGCAAAGGACAGGTCTGACCCGATGGGGTCAGTCGAGCCCGAGGCGTCGATCAGGAAGCCACAACCCCTCGACGCCTCGGCTGGAAGCGCCAAGCGCACATCTGGGGGCGGAATGTCGCCCACCGTCACGCTGAAGGTGACATCTCCAGCCTCGGAGCCGACGATGGAGGCCTTCACCTCGTAATTCCCCGCAGCACCCAGCTCGCTGACCGGCATCTTGAGCGACGCGTACGCGACGCCAGCGGGATTGATCCACTCAGTCCACAGCAGCCCGCCGCTGGCCCTCCAACTCCAGGCGACCTCGATACCTCCTCCAGCTGCAGCGCCGTCGCAGAGCATGACATTGGTTCTGAGGCGCACGTAATCATCCAACAAGGTGTACTCCGTGGTGCTGATGGCCTTGCTCAGGGACGCCGAGCCAGCCCTGTCAAAATCAAAGGTGAATGCGGTAGACCCCAGCGACTGGTCCCCGTGCTGATTCAGACCGTGCGCGTGCAGCCACACGGACATTGGAGAAGACAACCCCGCGTCCGCTGCCGCTGCGTCAGAGATGAGGTCACTGGAAAGCTGGAGCGTGGTCACGACTGTGCCCGCTGCAGCCACAGATAGGACGTCGGCGCACAGCTGCGAAGTGACAGGCTCGCACGACCAAGACAGCTCGGTGGTGTCATCTGGCACCCCAGCGTGGACGAGTAGCGAGTTGCAAGAGGTCAGCTTTGTGGGGATCGCGACGAGGGTCAGGACACCGATAGTCGTACTGGTAGTAGTTGTGGTTGTCGAACTGGTCATGGTTGTGGTGGTCGTAGTTGTGGCAGAAGTTCTGGTGGTAGTACGTGTAGAACTAGTCGACGTGGAAGTGGTACGTGTGATGCTCGTGGAAGAAGAACTCGTTGTTGATGTCGTACTGACCGTAGTTGTGGTATAGGTTCGTGTGGTAGAACTGCTAGTGATGGTGCTTATGGAAGTGGTGGAAGTGAACGACGCAGCTATGGTCGTTATTGTCGGCTGCGTCGTGGCAGTCGTTGTGGTCTCCGCGGCTGATAGTGTAGTATATGTTACCGACGTGGACGTTGTGCTGCTCATGCTCAACGTTGTTATGGACGATGCCACCGTGGAAGTGATACTCGTTGCTGAAGCCGTACTCGTAGCAATTGTGGTATAGGATAGCGTGGTGTGACTTATAGTGATGGTGCTTACGGAAGTGGTAGAAGTGATGGGTATAGTGCTGGTCGCTGTCGTCCTGGTCGTGGCAGTCGATGCAGTCCCCGTCGCTGACAAAGTAGTCTCTGTTACCGAGATGGATGTTGTTCGGCTCATGCTCAACGTTGTTGTCGTCGACGTCACCGTGAGCGTGATGTTGTCGATCGACGGCGCGCTGAGGCTCTCCACCATCAGGGTGTAGCTTGCGCCCTGGCTTTGGAGGTTGGCAGTCGTCAAGTCCTCTATGGTCGAAGCCGCGCCCGAGGCAGTCAGCGCAGAAACAATGTCAGAGTTCCGCTCGTCAATGATGTCTGGCCCACCGACGGTCGTGATGCTGTAGCTGACCCGCACCGTGCTGTTCGTAGCAGATACCACCCTAGTGCCCGTGTCCTCTCGAGCTGGCTCACCGGGAGCGGTGGATGACCCCCGCTGGGTCTCCACGGCGCGGCTCGGCCCTTCGAGGCGGCTGCCGATGTTCAGAGTCACGGACACCCGACTCGCCACAACGCCCACCAGGCTGGCGATGCTGTCCGTCACAGCCGCCACGGCGGTGGCATCGCTCACGAAGGCGACGGGGTCGGAGACCACCAGGTCCATCGTTCCACTAATCGTGCTGACGACCTGCGCAGTCGCTGTGGAGGTGCTGGTCTCTGATGTGTTGCTGGAGCTGGTGCCCGAAGCTGTTGAGAGCGTGGTAGTGGACGCGCTGGACAACGTGGTGGTGCTCACGGAAGCCGTGGTGGCCGCGGGGCTGCTGCTGGAAGCGGTTGTGCTGCTGCTCTCCGTGGTGCTGCTCAAGGAGGTGGTCCGCCCTCGCACGCGCAGCACGCCAGGCGTGAGCGTGCCAAGCCCCTCTTGAAGCCTTGAAGCTGCCCGTTGTGAACCACTACTCGGGCCCCCTGCGACACGGACCACGAAAAGAAGCACCCCACGAAGCGGCCTCTGGGATGCACACGAATGGCTCGATTCACCTCACCGAGGACGCCTCCGGCGGCCGCGAGAGCCACGACCCACGAAGACAGCCTCACCGTCCTCCGGGGATGATTCTCGGACTTCCCAATGCAGTCCGAAGAGATCCCCCCAACGCCCGAAAAGCCGAGGGCTCCCAAGGATCCTTCGAGGGAAGCCTGGGAAACCCAATGCATTTGAGACTGGCACACTGGCACCAAACATCAGGACAAGAGACGTCTATGATGGAGATGACATCTCACACGGCCAACAAGACGAAGAATCTACAACCACGGTACAAAATCGAGCCGGGACCAATCGAGAACCAAGCCGAACGGAAGAAATGCCCTGCGACCACGGCACAGGACAGAGCCAGGAAGACTCGGGAACAGCATCGAACGAATGGGACAATTTGGGTGCCTTGGGGTCGATCTTGGGGAAGAGGGCCGCTAGGGACCTGCAGACTTCCACCTCTTGGACTCCTCTGGAACCCTTCTCGGAAGCAGCTTGGGGGCATCTGAGGACGTCTTGAAGCAAAGTGCACGGGCGACGGCCAAGATGTAACGACGCGCTAGCCCGCAGTACTCGGACGACGACGACGACGACGACGACGACGACGACGACGACGACGACGAGGACGCGAGCACGGAGGGGAGAACAAACGACGAAGCGACAAGGGAGAGGAAAGAAGCGCAGGGCCCCTGCTGGACCGCACGCCCTCCCTCTTGAGCCCAGCGGCAGCGACCGATGGCCTGTCAAACGAGGAGGTGGAGGGGGATGGAGGAGAAGCAGGAAGGGAGGAGAAAGCAACGAACAGACGCGGACATGCAGGGAGGAGGAAAAGGAGGAAGCGGCAGGAGCAGCGCGAAACAAGCAACCGCACGGGGGGCTATCTTGAAGCCCTCTTGGGCCGACTTGGGGCGGTCTTGGGGCCCTCTTGGGTTGGCTGGTCTGGGGGGCGTCTTTGCTTCAGAAGCCCGAAATAATAATACCACGTAAATATGTCAAGAAACAATGAAACATCACATTTCACCAAAGAAACAGCCCAATCAGCACGCATATGGCCAGAAAAATTTGCAGATACCATGCCTTGCCGCAGTTTCGCACAACTCAATGTTGGAAAGGTTGTGGCATTCTCGCCTTTTCGCGAAGTCGTCGGCGCAGACTGACCCAAGGGACCTCTAAGACAGACGATCTGAGAAGACTCGTCGACGGCCCAAGACGGCCTCAAGGCGGCTCCACGTCGGCCAGAAGGGACCGTCCAGACTGCGAAGGGGGCCCCAAGACGGCTTAAGAAAGCACGAAGACGGCCCAAGAGGCTCACAAGGGACCCCCAAGACTGCTCCACGGGAGCCCTGGGCAACCCGGGAACGGCCCCAACGAGCTCCCTGAAGTGAAGTTGAGAGATATCACATGTGACGGGGCTCTTCTTATTTCTCCTCCCGTCCACCATTACCAGCAGCATCATCATCGTCACCATCATCAGCATCATCATTGTCGTCCTGAGCATCCTCATCCTCATCATCCTCATCATCATCAGCATCATCATCGTCATCATCATCAGCAGCATCATAATCAGCAGCAGCAGCAGCAGCAGCCTCAGCCTGAGCATCAGCATCAGCAGCAGCAGCATCAGCATCGTCATCACGATCATCCGATCATCATCAGATCACCAACATAATCATCATCAGCAGCAGCAGCAGCAGCATCATCATCACCATCGTCATCATCATCACCATCACCATCATCACTATCGTCAGCATCATCATCATCAGCATCATCATCAGCATCATCATCACCATCACCACTACCACCACCATCATCACCATCATCCTCATCAACAGCAGCAGCACCACCACCCGCATCAGCCTCATCCTCATCCTCCTCGTCAGCATCAGCATCAGCATCAGCATCAGCATCAGATTCATCATCATCATCATCATCAGCAGCAGCAGCAGCAGCAGCATCCTCATCATCATCATCATCATCATCATCATCATCATCATCATCATCATCATCATCATCATCATCATCATCATCATCATCGTCATCGTCATCGTCATTGTCGTCTGCGTTGTCGTCATCATCACCATTCGAACCGCTAGCCTTCTTCGGCCTCGTCATCTTCGTTGCTATGGAGGCCCCCCGAGCTCTAGAGACCTCCAGAAGCTGTGGCAGTGCTTGGCATTGCCGCGCATCTCTTGGCATTGCTTGGCACTGACTTCGTTGCTTTGCATTGCTAGGGAGAGTGGACCTTGTTAGCCTTGTTAGCATGGGCTTGGCAAACAGATTCGGGCGTGGTAGGTGGAGAAAGACGAGGAGGGAAAACAGAATAAAACGAGGAGCCAGCGACGGAGGCAGAGGATGCATTCACACGCATTGCGATGCGCAGCCGGAGGATGGGGAGGGTGCAATGCACTCCCATGCAGACGGGCCCCAAAAGCCAATTGCTTCGCATTGCTCGGCATTGTGTGGTATTGCCCAGGAATCTGCGTTGCTTGGCATTGATGGACGTTGCTTGGCATTGCTTGGGGACATACAGCGACCCGGCCAAAACGTGCCCATTGTCATCGCAGGCTGGGCACTCAGACCCGAGCGCGCAACGTGTTATTGGCACTGCAATGCGTTGCGTTGCGTGACATTGGACGGCATTGCCTTTGCATTGTTTGGCGTGGTTTGGCATTGCTTAGGGTGGTAAAACAAACAAAAAAGCAACAAAACACTAGACCAAGCAAGACCGAGGAACCCGAGGAACGCAACATGGAAGCAAGACCAAGGACCCCGGGGAACGCAGAAAAGAACCAAGACAAATGATGTTCTCGACGTTGTTGAATATTTGGTGCGCTCTCGTTCTCCCTGGCCTCTCACGGCCCAAGACGCCCCAAGAGGTCTCCGAGATGTCCCCATTTGGCCTCCGAGATCACCCCAAGCCGGCCCAAGAGGCCCCCAAGAGGGCCCCAAGACGGCCCAAGAGGCCTCCAACATCGCCCTCAACCGCTGTGCTGTCGGCACCCCTCACGCCCAATTTCCCAACCCTCCTGCGTTGAGCTCTCGTTTTGCATAGAGCACTGCGCTCTCCAGCCTTCCTATTCCTCCTCCCCCTTCTGCCTCCTCCTACCCCCGTCCTGCCTCATGCTTCCTGCCTCTTGGGAGGTTGAGCGGAGTGGGTCCCTGTAGGGCTGCGAAGCGTGAAACTGTCGCCACTTTCGTGGGCTCCGGGCTCCTGGGAGGTCCAGCGGAGTGGAGTGGCACGGGTATCCAGTTGAAACATCGCGGCTCCTCGGGGGGCTGCGACGTGTGGAACTGTCGCCACGTTCGTGGACTCCTGGGAGGTCCAGCGGAGTCGACTGGCACGGAGACCCAGTTGAGACCTCGCGGCTCTCTGGAGGCTGCGAAATGTGAAACTGTCGCCACTTTCGTGGGCCCCTGGGAAGTCCAGCGGAATGGAGCGACACGGGAATCCAGTTGGACCTCGCGGCTGCCCTGGGGGGCTGCGAAGCGTGCCACTGTGGCCAGTCTCGTGGGCTCCTGGGAGGCCCAGTGGAGTAAAGTTACACAGGGACCAAGTTGAAACATCGCGTCTCCCTGAGGGGCTGCGACGCGTGAAAGTGTCGCCACTTTCGTGGGCTCCTGGGAGGTCCAGTGGGGCCGACTGGCACGGGGATCCAGTCGGCACCTCACGGCTCCCTCGGTAGGTGCGAAGCGTGAAACTTCTGCCACGTTCGCGGGCGCCTGGGAGGTCCAGCGGAGTGGAGTGGTACGGGAACACAGTTGAGACCTCGCGGCTCCCTGGGGGGGGGCTGCGAAATGTGAAACCGTTGCCACTTTCGTGGGCTCCTGGGAGGCCCAGCGGAATGGAGTGGCACGGGGACCCAGTTGAAAGCCTGGGGGCTCTCTTGGGGGCTGCGAAGTGTGAAACTGTCGCCACTTTCATGAGTTCCTGGGAATTCCAGCGGAGTGGAGGGGTAGGGGGGTCCATTGAGACATCGGAGCTCCCTGGGAGGTCCAGCGAAGTGGAGTTACGCGGGGAAGCCTTGCCGCTCTCTGGAGGGCTGCGGAGCGTGAAACTGGCACCACGTTCGTGGGCTTCTGGGAGGTCCAGCGGAGTGGCACGGGGACCCAGTTGAGACCTCGCGGCTCCCTCGGGGGCTGCGAAGCGTGCCACTGTGGCCAGTCTCGTGAGCTCCTGGGAGGTCCAGCGGAGTGGAGTGACACGGGGACCCAGTTGAGACCTCGCGGCTCCCTGGGGGCCTGCGAAGCGTGAAACTGTCACCACTTTCGTGAATTCCTGGGAGTTCCAGCGGAGTGGAGTGGTACGGGGGTCCAGTTGAGACATCGGAGCTCCCTGTGGAGCTGCGAAGCGTGCCACTGTCGCCACTGTCGTGGGCTCCTGGGAGTTCCAGCGGAGTGGAGTGGCACGGGGACCCAGTTGAGACCTCGCGGCTCCCTGAGAGGATGCGAAGCGTGAAACCGTCGCCACCCTCGTAGGCTCCTGGGAGATACCGTCGAGACCTCGCGGCTCCCTGACCTCCTCGCGGCCGAGAGGTTGGCGCGAGAGTTCGGCCTGCAGCACTCCCCGCACGACTGACGAAGGAAGCTGCCTGCGGTGTCAGGCGAGTTCGCGGTAGTTGTCGCAAGCGCCTCACTGGCCGGCGGCGACGAGAAGTGATTGATCTCTTCCAACATGACAGAAGTTCCCATTGCGCGCGGCGGTGTCCCGTCACGTAGCGCTCGGCCCTGTCGCATCGCAGCTAGCAGGGAGCCGCTGCGCCACGCAGCGCATATGACTGTCTTTTGCCCGCGTGGCCTCCCATCCTCAGCTGCTTCTGGCCCGCCGTGCCACCCCGTGCAGAGCGCATGGCGCTGTTCTGTCCCGCGTATGTAGCGC